TTTCTTGCTGAGTTTACATGGTTTCAAAGTCCAAGTTTGTCTACCTGAAAGTGAAAGATGGTGACATTGACCTAGAAGCAGGAAGATGCACATGTGTTTGTACCCCCCCCCCCCTCCCCTAGAGCAGTTAACATAGAAAACCATAACTTCTAAAGGAATGTGGTCCACCCAAAGAGTGATCTATTAATGTGTATTTTTCAGAGAATGTATAATGTGAAATTGTTTGCTTTTGCTTGTTTCGTACAAATTGATAAATACCTATGAACCGAGAGCAATATAGTAATAAAACCTTATTCATGTCAGACATATTCAGTTCGTTTGCTTCCATATTAACAGGATTGACAGCTTTTTATTCAGTTTGATTTCATAACTTTTTGGGGAGTGTGTCTTCTGTTTCTTTCTGTGGCTTCAAGTTTAGATTCTGAAGAGATTTTCTCTGCAAAAAGACTTGATTAGATAGCATACAAGGCAGGAATGCAAAAATAGTAAAGTACTCACCTCTAAGACTTTATTTAAAGCCTTCAAGTCATCCAGAACAGCTGTGCACACAGTCATGCTCTCTGACAGGGTGGCTAGCCTGACATCAATTTTCTCTCTGTCCTGAAGAGTCAAATTACAGTTAAAATAGTCCCATTAACTCCATTCAACGTGAAAATGTCAGATAACAGCTTTAAATTTAGTAGAAAAAACAAAAGAGACTTAAAATCAGCTTTATCCTTTGGGATTACTCCTTCAAGGAAATTCTGGCTCCAGTAGCTTATATAGAGTACAAAGGGCAGAGTTAAAGCAAGATTTCCATTTTGGAACGTTTAGTCTTGGTTTTACATACACCATCATGGGGAAGGCTTCAAAGCAGTGCAGAAGGTAAAGATGTTGCAGAAAGAACAGTTCAATGGATCGTCAATCAAAGCAGGTGCAAGAAACGTATTGCTGCTATAGTGGACAAAAGTGATCCCCAGAATCCACAAAGTGGAGTTTGAGGAGAGCATGCCTGATATTAAATTCATAGGAGCAAACATGCAGAAATTAACATTTAATTTATTATTAAACAAAAAAATCACCATCAGTATCCAGCATATTTCTGCCCAAATATTTTTTTGTTGTAGATTTTTGTAACAGGGATAATAGGATCATACAAAATTATTTTTTATGACCCATTTGTTTTCTACTTCCAAATCCAGCAGCTCTTCAACCAGGCCTGCAATAAGAAGTATATTTTGACCGGATGTGATTAAACTTTTAACCTCTCGGTATAAAAATTTATATTTAGATGGAGATGGGAAATTTGCTTCCTGGTATGATACGTACCAATAGTTTGCATCCAATCATGTAATTAAACGGCCTTAGTTTTGGGGAATATATAAGAATTATGCTCCAATTTGTAATTACCAATCCATCGTTACTATATTCTAATTTGACAAACAAGATCTTCAACAATTTTTTACCTGTTTGGTGAGATTGCAATTATAGATCTTGACTTGGCCGGACCGGCGCAAAAAAAAAAAAAAAAAAAAAAAAAAACAGCTCTGCTCCATATTTTGAAGGTGACGGACGGAGAAGACGGACGTGGACGGTGAGTTGCGCAGGGGCGGAGCTTGATGGGGGGCCAGGGGTGGACATGGCCACCCTTAGCCAATCACTGGCCACCCCTACCGTTTTTTTTCCCCCTCTAATACAGATGGTGGCAGCAGTAATACTCTCAAGTGGAATATTCAAAACATTTTATTTTTTGTGGTTAATTATGCACATCAATATAATAACATTAAAGATGATAAGTACATGCTCTTCTCAGAACTAGATTTTGTGTTATTTGGGGTAAAGAGAAAATTATGCATCTCTGCAAGTCATCTAGGAGTCTTCAATGAAATTATTTTAATAAAAACTTATCAAATAATCAATGTAGATATTAGTGCTTGTAGATATTTTTATGCGGAATGTTTGATACAAGTAGGTAAATAATGACAATGGAAAAGACTTACACCCTATACCTCAAAACTAAGTTTTATCCGCCATACCTTTTATCTAGAAATTACAGATTTTTAAATATGTGTCTATTTGTTAGCAAAGGCTGTAGGAAAGTATAGTTAGTCTTTATTTAGAAAGTATGGCTCTTTTGCTTGTTAATTTTCCTGTTGGAACAGTGTAGATTGACCCTGAAGTTCTGGTGCCTATCCATTTTCGGCCAGCCCTCATTGTACATTGGTTATTGCCTGGCCACCCTTATTAAAATGTTCTGGCTACATCTCTGGAAGTGCAGAAGAGTAGCAGAGGATGTGGAACAGCCCTTATTACAATTACAGACAAGTCCTCCACACGACGTGCATCAGCAGAGCGGAGCGTTGACGAAGTATTTGGAATCTGAGGGTGAGAGTCAGTCAGCAGCGCACAATGCATCTTAACGACTGAGCTCAACTGTAAAGTTTTCAGATGGTGATGACTTGAGTCATGTAATATGTTGGTCAACTCAATTGTCAAACCCAAAATCGACACTTTTTTTACCAACACTTTTTTCCTGCCTTAGACCGAAATGCTTAGTAGAGAGATGCCAATTTCATTTTACAAGTGGGACACAGCCAGGGGCGGAGCTAGATGGGGGGCCAGGGATGGTGGGGCCACAGATGGTGGCAACAGTAATACTCTCAAGTTGAAAATTCAAAGCATTTTAATTTTTCATATGTTAACAATTACTTAACACTGGTTAATTATGCACATCAATATACTAACATTAAAAATGATAAGTACAGAGTTCAAGCAGAAATAGATTTTGTGTTTTATGGGGTAAAGAGAAAATGATGTCTCTGCAAGTCATCTAGGAGTCTTCAGTAAAATCATAGATAAATAACTATTTTAATAAAAACTTATAAAAAAAATAAATTTATGTAGATATTAGTACTTGTAAATATCTATTTTATGCAGAATAATTACGGTACTGATAAAAGTAGGTAAGTAATGACAATGGAAAAGATGTTCACCCGAAACACAAACCTGAAAGAATTTTTCCACTAGAACTTTTATTTTGAAAGCACGGATGTTTGAATATATCTGTCTATTTGTTAGCAAAGGCTGTGGATAAGTATAATTTGTCTTTATTTAGAAAATATGGATGTTTTGCTTATGAATTTTTCCTGTTGGAACAGTGTAGAATGACCTTTCGGCCAGCCCTCAGTTTACATTGGTTATTGCCTGGCCACCGTTATAAAAAATGTCTGGCTACGCCTCTGGACACTGCCAAAAGTACAAAAAAAAAAAAAACCTAACAACTATGACGTCACGTTGCTGGCCACCAAACTCTGATCCCCACAGAATACTGCGCACAAAGTCCAGTTCTCAAGGGTCGGTTTTCTGAATATTTTAGTTATCTCCCTGTTCAAATTTCTGCAGGAAGGAATGCAAGACAGCAGATGTGCTACAGGCTGCCATTATAGGAACCTAGGTTTCCTTAATACTGCAGTACAGCTGAAACTCATGCAAATGAGACAACCAGTGTATAGAGTGTACAGCACAAGGATAAGCTTTTACATATGAATACCTTTCTGTATCGTCTTTCTATAGGGGCATGTAGTGCTGTTAAATATTGCAACTATGTTAATATTTATCTGATTGTTCCATCTATTCAAGCACCATGATTTTCCCTCTTCTTAAGCATTATTAGGTGCAGGCAAAGAGAGAAGCAAAACAGTTTAACCAAGCAGCTATTGGCAAGCAAAATATTGCAATATCAGAATATTTTTACAACCTAATTTTAGTCCATTGATCCTAGGAATTAGTTTATTGAACAGATTTAGTATGAAAGTCAAAATTCTCAAAATTTGTTTAAAAAAAAAAAAAAGATTAACAGAAATAAACCAACAAAAAGAAAAAAAGTGAAATTTTTTAAAACCAAGTCACCTAACTTGTATTCACCAGTAATTAATTCAACTGCACCTATAATCTAGACACATTTGTTTGGACAGATTTGTAAATAATCAGTTAATGTAGAAGCCAACCTGTTGCAACAACACCAGGGCCTCAGCAGTGGCCGTTGCTTTGACCTCTAATCCTTCTGTTAAAGAGAAAACACATAAAATGAAGAATTATTTAAGCTAATAAATGTGTGTTTTCATTTTTAGTGGGAGGAAAAGAATGTTTTTTACCTGTGTCTGAGGCCATGTTTACTGAGATACCTCCTTGTTTTCAGTGTTTTAAAGCTAGTCCCTTGGTATATGTCAAAGCTGTTCCAGGTGTTTCACATTTTCCTAATTGCTGCTAAGGATATTTTTGATAATGATAATTCTTTGTTCATTTTTTTCATCAGTTTGATATATGTTCAATGTTTAAATATTACTGCTTCAATCATTAATATGTATTCATTTAAGTGTAGTCATATTTGAGTAATTTTGGATCCGATTTTGAATCACGATGCTTTGGCCCTTTAAAGAGATCTTGGGTCTATCAGTGGGTGGAGCTTACACTGCTACTGTTTGATGTGATTGGTCTACTATCTAATTAGGCATCTGACATTATTTTGTGGTTTCTATCAACTGCAAAGAATTCAGTATATGTTTTAAAAAAAGCTAAATAATTACTTGTTTTTATTAACTAAAAAATAAATTTTCCAATTTAAGTTATCCATATTTAATTGTTTGCCTCGTAATATTTTATATATCATATGTATTATATCATATCATATATATATATATATATATATATATATATATATATATATATATATATATATATATCTTATATATCATATTTTAAAATCAGATACATCCAGCTGTTTACTTATTTCCAGGGAAAATTATCACATATATCCAGAGAATTAAATATATTTGTTTACATAATTTATTTAAATTGTATTTCCTGTACGATAAAAAAAAAGAAAAGAAAAAAAGACGAGATCTAATATTAATCATAGAGGTAATTTTATGAACCATCGTACGTATTTCGTTGTTTTTGGCCTAAATCGGCACTTATACCTTTAAAGCGTCATCAGTTATCGGTGCAACCCGGAAGTGTTATCTCATTGCGTCAGGCAACAACATGCTTCTGATAGGGGGGAAATCACTCCCGTGTTTCAGCTGAGTTTGATTTTATGAGTTTGTTTGGGTTTGTCGCTGGGTTGATCAAATTCAGAGGATCTCATAGTTCAGCTCGTCTTCTCGGAACCGACATGTGTAAAGAACCAAAGACCAGACTGTTCCGTTTGTCGCCGCCAAACTCCAACGGGGCTTCGGTTCCTCAGGAGACCCAGACAGGTACCGGTCACAGCCAGAATCAGTCCTGGTCGGTGTATGGACACAGGTAGCTGTGGGTGCGCTTCCTAAAACACGCTGTAGCTCTTTGGAAGTTAAACACTCATTTCTCTTATAATGACCAGTGTTTTCAATCAGGCATAGAAATCAACATACACCCAAGAGATGAACTGTAGTGTAGATCATTAGTGTTTCTGTAGACACCCGGTGTCTCCATACTTTTTCATTTCCAAACCGATATTGCAGCTTTTGTGCCGATATTGACTGATATCACCATGAATCATACAGTTTTATTACTTATTTATAGTGTGGAATGATATAAAATGTTTGAACAATTGATATTTCTCCAAAAGATAACAGGTATGAACAGGTATGAGAACAACAAACCCATCTCTAATTGCCAAAGAGATACAAGATACATAAACTTTAAATAAAAGCAGATGGATGCAGTGTTTTTTTGCAGATATTCACTTTTTGTCTGATTTTCGATATCAGTCTCGGTTCTGTGAATCCCTTGTGTTTACTTATGTGCACTTATATACTTCTTCTTCTAAAAAAATAAATAAACTGCTCCACATAATATGCACTTGGTAAAAAAAAAAAAAAAAAAACTGCTCCACATAATATGCACTTGGTTGGATATCTGATCCAGCTAATTAGTCAACATAAGAGCTGATATCCGTTCCAGGTATTGGATCGGTGCAGCTCTGCTCACTACCATCAGTACAAATAGGATGGATCCTTGCTTTTATGTTGTCCTGACTCCAGATTTGATGCTTATCATTTGAATGTTGCTGCTAAGATTGAGATTCAATATTTGGTTTAAACATTTTCCAACATGCAGTTGGATAGTTTTGCTCTATGTTTAAACAAGTAGTGGCCCCAACTGTAGACTGTTGCTGCTTTGACCTTTCTTCGTTTGCTTCGACATCTTGTGTAGAGATGGTATTGTGCATGCTTTGATTGATCATGTCAAACCAGGAGGCCCTCTGACCTCTGTTATAATCAAGGCCTTTGTCGGCTTAATAACAAGTACATTCAGTACCTGCTTCAAGGGGGTTATTTTCAAAAGGTACTTCTGATAAAACACTTCATTGGAACACTTAAATTCCAAGAAACATTTAATTTTAAAAGGACATGAAATGCTGTTGTTAATCATATTACAGGGGTTTCTACATTAAGTTGTAGATGTTAATGGCTGTAGGCATGAAGGATCTCCTGTAGCAGTTTCTCACAGCGATTTTGGAGAAGCCTCTGACTGAAAACTATTGTTTCTCGACAGTCTGATGAGGAGATGGTAGCCCCATTTACACTGCCCTCTGAAAACCGATCCATGACAAGCTTGGTTCCTTATGATAATTTACCACCACGCTTGTGTGGTTCCTTGACTCCTAGTGATGATCTTCTACTACTGCTCTCTAGAAGTAAACAACAAATCAACATGGCGGCACCCATAACCTTCAGGAACTTTGGTTATAATTGTGATATTTCGTTGTTCGCCGAGAGTCAAGCGAAGAAGACAGCCTTTGCTGAATTTTCTTGACAGATTTGGCTTTTGGGAAGTGGATACGACAAACGATAGTCTAATCAGGACTTACAGATGCAGGAAACAATGACAGACGTTGAGGTTCATCACACTGCTAAGCAGAATCATCACTGGAAATCGTGTGGCACGGTCGGGAAGCTAGTATGTTTATGAATGTCTGAAATTTAATCATTACAGAGGCTGACTGCAAGGAGATGACGTGGTCTGCTCGTGCACTGTTTGTCATCTATGATCCGAGCCAGAACTGAACTGCGCAGAGCACTACTGATGAACTAGTACCAGTTTAGCACGGTTCGGTTGTGACAGGCGCAGTCCAGTTCGGTTTTGCGTGGCATTTACACTCAATATTTACCTCGGTTACTGTGCTTGGACCGATCTCTGCACTGTTTCAAAAAGGTAGTTTAAATGGGGTTTATGTCATGTATTTGTTCTACCCAGCCCCTGAAAGCAGGTGAGTCTAATCTGCAAAGTGAATTAACCTTTGCAGATTGAACTACCCTGGTTCAGTGGCTGGGAAGATCAAATATGAAACTTAGAGATTACTTGCTGACTTCAGATCCCCCATCTCTGATGTGATGTCCTCAGTAATGTCCATAATGACCTTCATTTTATGAAGAATTCTCCATACGCTCTTCCAGAACAGAGCCTTCTTCATCATCCTGTTAGATGTGTCTCCACAGCAGACCTGTGGTAGATAAGCACCATCTTGCTGCAATAACCTGAGCTTCCAGTCTTCTCTGCTTTCTGTTTGAGATGCAACTGTGAAGCCGTCTACAAGAAAAGACGGAGTACAACTCAGCTCTTACTTAGAAAAATCAATCATTTAAAAATGTTACTTTCTTGGTTATAAGGAAACCTCAATAATTGAAGTTTTAATTCGACATGCACCGATCCAGTCTGATACCGATACATGGTCTAAGCGTTTTGGCCGATATCTGACACAATGTGATACTACTGTTGAATGAAATACCCGTATACCTTTTGATGTTAGTAAAGGCACCAGCCTTGACATAAACATTGTTGTACAAAAAAGGTAAGAAATGTAAACGGACAAATATAATCACTGCTGTGATTGCACTGCGTGATGTGATCAGCATTGAAATCATGAAATTGAATTCAACAGATCACTGTAACTGTACTGCTGTGTATGATATTCTGATATAAAAGAATTAAAATGACAGGATCAGAAAGGCTCGGCATATTTCATCCGCTATCTGATCCATCTACTGGAGCTGATATCCGATCAGAGTATGTCAATATATTGTGTAATTTCTTATTCCATGCTAAAAACATTGTTGGGGTGTATTCATCTGTTGTTGTTTTTATGGTCATTAGATCCTATATAAAGAACATACAATATTCACCTGCAGAAGCCCCACATTTGCAACCTTTTCACCAGAACTATACATCCTATTGATTTTGCTTGTTTTCAATATTTTTTCCCTCAATCCTCAGATAATTCGGAAATCCTGAGCTGCACAGTGAAGGCTTTAAAGGATGGTCACGTTGTTGCCGTGCCCACAGACACCATTTACGGCCTGGCATGCTTGGCCCAAAACTCTGAGGCTGTCAAAAAAATCTATGAAATCAAAGAAAGGAACGGACAGAAGCCGCTGGCGATTTGTGTGGGAGAAATTCAGGAGATCTATCAGTGAGTGTGCTTTCATTAGACTTTGTCGCTTTGTGTTCTGTTTTTGTACAGATGAAGTCACTCTGTGATCAGTTCAGTCTTTAAATGTGTAGAGAATCCTGAATGTCTCGTTTCCTGAGCAGGTACTGTAAGGTGAAGGTGAAAGAGGAGCTTCTGAGGGATCTGCTGCCTGGCCCCGTCACTCTGGTGTTGGAAAGGTCTGAAGAGCTGAACAGAAACCTCAATCCTTTCACATCAGTACGTTTCCTTCTTTAATTGGACAATTTCAACCAAATCAGAAGTCCTGTTTCTTTATAGGCAGTCAGCTGTTTTTATTTTTTCCTGTAGCTCGTAGGCGTTCGTATCCCTGATCATCCCTTTATGAGGAGCCTTTGCCAGATGTGTGAGGAACCTTTGGCTCTGACCAGCGCCAACATCAGCTCCCAGACAAGCACACTGGTGGTACAGGTAAGTCTCAGAACCAAAGTGTGGATCTAAACACGGTGCAATGTTTGCTAAGCAGAATGTGTGTGTTTCCCCTGATAAAGGAGTTTGAGGAGCTCTGGTCTAAGCTAGCAGTGGTGGTGGACGGAGGACCAATAAGAGACCAGAGCCGGCAGGGGTCAACAGTGGTCGACCTGTCAGTGCTTGGTAAATACCGGGTCATCAGACCGGGCTGGTAAGTTTCAATCAGGTGCTGATGTTTGGTGGGATTTTCATACAGGGAGGCATCTAAAGGCGTCACTTTTCTTGTAATCCTTCTTAAATGTTGCAGACAGACGAATGTGTTATCAGATTTATTAGCCTCCCCACTTTAGCCTCCTTTTACCAAGAAGGCAGCTCTCTCCATGAATGTTAACCTCCTTCTCTAATCCCCATCACAGCCCCTAAACGTAACCTAGAATATCTGTGGTGGGCTTGAAGAGACAACCTCTACCAGACGTCTGCAACATTTACAGTCCGAAGAGCCGTTTTTGACCTCAGTCCAGCTTATAAAACTTGTTATGAGCCGCAAACATCAATGGCCTTTTCAAAAAGAAGTAAAAAATCCATTATATTTAAAAAATATCTTCCACAAGAGATTAGTCCTTTGTTAAATTACCACTGTCTGAATTCAATAAATATATTTTCAGTAGGTAGCTGAAATTTGTGAAAAAAATGTCCCCCCCCTTAAAAATATCTAAAATATATATTTCTGTTATGCTTAATTTCAAGTTATTTTGGAAATTCAATACAATAATTCAATGGGAAAAGTGCTAAACCCAGCATTTGTTATGTCATCTATATAAGGGAATTGTTATTGCCCAGTGTCTAAAGAGGCATAGGTTGCAGATGCCTGATTTAAACTGAATAAAGCACTTGATCAGCCAGTCTGGGGTCCTGAGATCCACTTTAGAAATTCAACTAAACAATAACTATTACATTTAACATGCTTAAAGAAAAAAAAAAACTGCTTCACTTAAAAATAAACAAAACTGGAAACTATACTTATTGATGATCAAACCTAAGTTAAACTGATTTTGAAGAAATTAGGGATGCACGATATTGGGATTTTGGCCGATATCAGATATGCCGATATTTTAAAACTCATGTAGCCAATAAACGATACCGATGTTAAAGCTGGACAAAAATAAGTAGTCATTGAAAATAGCAGTTTTGTTATCCATTTCTGACACTTTGAAAAATAATATACTCAAATATATTTTCATATGCTGATATCAAATAGATTTTTAAAAACGTGGTATCGATCTATTTTACTTTCAAAATCTCGTGAAATTTCATCGTTCTGTTACAAACTCTCGTGATATTTTGCAAATTCTTGTGAGATTTTGTTAATAAAATAGATCGATACCGCGTCAATATATCAACATATAAAAATATGGCAAAATTTCGTGAGATTTTGGGTGATTTCGTAGCAAAACGATGACATATAGCAACATTTCATTAGTAAAAGATTGATATGGTGTTTTTAAATGGCAGTATATCAGCATTTGAAGATATTATGATATTTTAATGTATCAATATTTTGTCTTTAGAAATTTTTAAGTCTGTAAAAAAGAAGTTTTGAGGAAGAAGAAGAAGAAGTAATATATATATATTTTTTTTTTTAGACTTTAAAAACTCAGAAGCTGATCAAATATCGGGTAAATATCGGTGGGGTGGCCGATGTCCGATATTCAGTTTTAAGGCCGATACAGGCCGATACCGATAGGGGGCCGATTATATCGTGCATCCCTAGAAGAAATGTTTGTATACTAAGCCAATAGTTTGGGTCATGAACTTTAGTACCATTTTGTGGGTGAAATGCTGAAATGTTTTGGAACCTCTGGATTAAAGAGCCTCTATATACTGGAACTTTAGGAAATGTTTTAGGGGAAGGTTAGCTGCTTTCCTGCTGCCAAAAGTTTAGGGATTCTAATAATTCTGCCACTGGAGATGATATATTTTTTATACGTGTTTTGTTCTTTTTAGTAAATTCTTCAAATTAAAGGTTGATATTTTCAGTTTCATTCATGTGAGAACTTACTACTGCTGTTTTTGACTGTACTGGGGTGGTTATAAATGTCCACAGGGCTGCTAATTATAGAATAACCAGGAATTGTGTTATTCTAGGTAATGACTATTTTGAAATGTTTAGAAAAGTTATTTCTAAGGGGAATGAGCAAAGCTTCAGAATTGTAAAACTTAAGGTTTAAAGCAAAAAAAACAACTTTTTTTTAATAAAGTGTTTAATTTTATACAATAATAAGACTTTGCAGTGGAACTTATTCTACTTTTTTATAAGCATCCACCTGCTGGGGATCACTCTTATATGCTCCTTAAACTAAACAGGCTCTGATTCTGATTATCTCAATAAACGTTAAAAAGACATATTATAATCGGCAGGTTTGCATTAATTTTGTCATATGAACCAAGCCTCAATTTGCGACAGGCTTCCAACAAAAGCCTGCCAGCTGGGATTAAATACCACAGAGTCAGCTCGTCACATTGCGTTTGTTTTTGCTTCCCTGACTGAGCTCCAGCGCCGTCCCCCTTCTTCCCCAAACCTCCAATGTTCCTTATGAAATAGACTTTGTGTGTTAAACCAGAAATGACCCTAATTCTGTTTTCAGTGCCCTTTCTGCAACGGTTGACGTGTTGAAGCACAAATATGGACTGTCAGACTACTCGGGGGAGGAATGACCTTTAAACCCCACGCACTCCAAACGCACACTAAGACGCACGGTCAGCTCTAACCCAGAGATATTCAGGAAGGCAAGAAGGGAAGAACTGGACATTCCCGTGGAAAAACAAACTAATGACAGAAACACAGAAGGAAAAGTGCTGTCAGAATCTTCTCATACTTCTGTTTCTTTGTGAGGTAACTTTTATATTTTTTTGCTGTAATTTTATTCAAGGGGTTGATCAGAGGTTCAGGCTGTTTTTGTTCAGTCAATTCAGACATAGCATAAACAAGCCGAGTTTGTAATATTTTGTTTTTAAAGCTCTTTGTGTTTATAATGTGCCTGAATTATCCTTTATAACAATGCAAAGGGTTAAACTTTAATTAACTGTATTTTGTTACCTAGCATCAGTTATTTTCTTTATACTGTAAAGTTTGAGACTCCTGCTGCATCTCATTATTTTAATTAGAAATAAAAGGTCCTAATATAAATAAATATATATACATATCCATCTGCATTCTTGCATTTTCAATAAGAGCTGTTTTTTTTTTCTCCTTTATCTTAAATCCGTGATCTATCTCTGCTTAATGTACTATAATAAATTTTATTTTTACGTTTACGTTTTGTATTAAAGACGTTCGGAGGCTTTCTTACTCTCAATTAAAAAAAAACAACAAAAAAAACACAGCTGGTAATAAGGTGTGGATTTCCACTGCAGGTTTTCACAAAATACAATGTTTTATTTAGGCCTCCTTCCATTGAAATTCCAAGAATTAAACCAAATAACATTCAGCAGATTTCAATATTGATTATGTATATACACTGCTCAAGCAAAAGTATAAAGGGAACATGTAAACAGGACAATATAACTTAATTTAAATCAAACTTATGGGAAATCAAACTGTCCATTAAAAAAGTAATCAATTTCACAGGCTGTAATGAAAATGGAATAGACAACAGGTGGAAATTATTGGCGATTGGCAAAGCACACTAAATAAAGGAGGGGTTCTGCAGATGGGGACCACAGACCACCAGTCAGTACCTATGCTTCCTGGCTGACTTTTTTTCGTCACTTTTGAATGTTGATGGTGCTTTGACACTTGTGGTAGCATGAGACTGACTCTACAACCCACAAGTAGTAGTGCTGCTCCTCTGGGATGGTACATCATTGTCAGCTTAGTGTCCAGAGGGTGGAGGCGCTACCAGGAGACTGGCCAGTACACCAGCAGATATGGAGGAGGCAGTAGGAGGGCAACAAC